TGAGAAAAAAAATTCATATAAAAATAAAAAAATAAACATTTTAGACTTCATATACGTTTAAACACTGAACATACTTATTCGATTGCAATGATTTGTTTGATCCCGCTTTAGCTGAATCACTACCAGTAGTATTACTACTGATCGAATGACTTAACTTTTTATAACGATAATTTTCATAGTGAATATTATGAGTAACATCACGCAAATCGTTTAAATTTGTTCTATAAAAAGCACATAGACAAAACGGATAATAGAGATATGAATAGAAAACGAACTTACCGAATAAGCATACTCCTCAATGCAATAAAATCACTGCGTGCTTCATCTTCAACTAAAATGAGAAAAATGGATAAGTTACAATAACACAAAATGTCATTCATGAATTATCATCACTGACCATCTACAACTCCCCATGCGTATTGTCTAACTCTCGCTCGTTTACTTCCTCGTTCCAATATAATGTTACTTCCCACAACTGCGAATGGAACTTTTTCCTACAAAAATAAAAGACATCTTTCTAATGTTTGTTCACTTTCTCAAGATCAAAGGTTACTTTGTATGCTTTTGTTAGTTTATTTTCTTCATCATCGTCACAATCTGGAAACTCATGTAATTTAATTTTTTCATTATGAATATCTTGTAATATTGATTTTTTAAATATTCTCAGTTCATCGGATGTCAAAGTATCTGCTTTAGCTATAACTGGAATAATATTAACACGATCATGTAATCGTTTCATAAATTCGACATCAAGTGGCTGAAGACTAAAGTAGACCAGAAGGATATTAGACCAGGTAGGGAAAACCACGAAATCCCTATGGGTTTTGAAAAATCCATAACTCGACTTAAACAAAAAGTCGCTTGCAGAGCAAATAGAGTAGGTCCTGGGGAACGTTTTCATATATTTGAATGTTAGTTTCGAGTGGGGCTAACGGGGGTCAGTTGACTATACTGAGGTAGTCTCATGTGGAGCTGACGTTACGAAGAGTGTGTGAGGTGTAAGTTATTGAATTTAGCTTCGAAGTAGACACATTTTATTATTAAAAGGGAGCTAAGGAGACGCTGATTCTGAATATGTGAGTTTAAATCGTTTAACTTGGACGAG